AAAATATATATTTTTAAATTTACTAAACTAAATAACCTACAGTATTTTTACTGTCTTTATTTTACAGTTAAAATATGTTTATCAAATAAAGTCTAATGTTACAAGTAATCGGGGATCCCTATAAGGAATTTCAGGGGCGACTGTTAAAGTAAGAAAATTAACACATTTGTGGTTTTTCTCCCTCAAGGAGTAAAGGCGTGCTGGAGTCCTTTTCAGGAACAGAAACCAACAAGATCTGGCCTCACGTCGAAGCTTTCCTCCACAGAAAGTTCTCCTCGCTCAGTCAAAGAGCAGCTTAAAGAGCCTGAGGAGGAGTTTTTACTGAAAGGAGCCACTGTGTGCGCCAATCCAAGAGCCAGAAGAACAGAGGGGCTATCTGTGAATCAAACCGATGTGAGGAAACAGGATTTATTTTCTATTCTTTTTGCAGCACAAGTATGTTACCATTCTTAGTTTGGGAAACTCGTCTCTTCCATCCATTTTGTGCCTTTTTAAAGCCAGAAGCAAATTACTGAATCGTGCATCTTAAACAGCAGAGTATGAAAGATGTAACCAGCTTTAGTTTCTATCATTTCAATCTCATCAGCACCGAAAAGACTTGAAACCATTTTAATAATGAAAACAGTAAACTGAGTTCATTTTGTGTACAGAAATACCTTGTAGGAAATGTCACGAGTGCCTTTAGCTGCTTTAAATGAGCAGCTCAAAACTTTTAATTTAAAAATCATTTTTGTATTATTTTCTGAATCGAAGGGACCACATTTATTTTATTGAATATTTTTAATTACAAAGAAAAGCATCAAGGGACAAGTTTCAACCACTGCAGGTCTTATTAGTGAAGCTTCTTAAACACTCCATTCTTTTCATTTTAACCATCTGTCAATCGTGTCATAATAATAATAATAGTAATAATAATAATAATGTGAACACAGACTTTAACAGGGTTAAATGTTGTTGGAAAGTATTTGCACTTTTTTGCACATTGCTTGAAATATTTACCCTGTTTAAAGCTTATTTGCTGCGTTTTGTAACTTCTACTGTTTTCTGCACTTCTACGTTTGAAGCATCTCCTTTATTGTACAGTTCAACACTGTCACAAGTATTTATATCAAAATAAACCTCTTGTACTGTACACTACTTGTTTTAATTGACTGATTTGGACATTATGGAACATTAGCCTCTGAAACAGTTGAAGGAATTGTTTCGATGGTTGTGAATTTTTATGTTTATGTTATGAACATTTGATTTGTGTTACCTATTGTAAAAAGCCTTTTTGAACATCCTTGGTTTGGAGAAGTTTGACCAGATTCACGAACTAATGGCTAGTCCAAGAGTTTAACGGTTCAAACATTTATTTATAAACTTGTACATAAGTCAGTTTTACAGTACCTATTGTTTAAAATAGCTTCTGTCCACTTGAACTAGCCATTATTCTCCAAACTGTTTATTGCTCCATCTATGACAGGTAAGATACTTGTTCACAACCTTTCCACAGAACCCTACTTCAAAACAAAACAAACAAAACTTTAGCTACAACTTAAAAACAGTTCAGGAAGACACCAGAGACACCATCTGCAGTCTTAAAACAACTATTCAAGCCCAATAATTATTTTTGCATAATTATCCAAGTATTACGAAGAAAAAATACTGAAAAAAAAGTTTAAATAGTGCCGAGCTAAGTTATAGATGTTAGATACGTCGTGAATTCTTGCTAGCAATKATTAGCTCATCACCACTAGATTATTCTATTAATGATAAAGTTACCTAGATTTCAATTATACATAAAAAAATCTAATGTAATTAAATAACAAGCAGTGTTATTCTTGTAGAACCACAAACAATTGGAATTTGACACACAAGTGTTTTCTCATGAAATCAAATTATGACTTGTGTCATGGCTAAGATTTCCTTTATGTATAAAAATTAAAGTTTTACTGCCAATAATACTTGTTTGATTAATCAAAAGCAGCACAAACCAAAGAAAAATAAAGACAGTTGTGGTATGGTGGTTGTATCTAAATTCAGCACAATGCTGCTTTAACTTAAGTCACATTAAATGTTTCTAATTCTATTCCTCTCATCACAAATTAAATGTGTAAAAAGTAGCAAACAAAACAGTGTTTAATAAATAAAATGTAGTTTTATACCAGAAATAAATCTTCAAACTCTTAATTTTCATTTCAATTCTGCATGATGTTAAAACAAAATTAAACAAACAAAAAAAGAGATTATTTCAAGCAATTCAAAAACAATCCACATTGATAAATTAAATACTTTTAAATGAAGAAACTCACTTTTTTTCTAAACGGACTCAGTAAAATTTTCCACACGAGTGTGTTTTAGCTATAGATAATCCTGCAGAGGATGTTGGCTGTGACTTGTATCAAGGTACAGACAGCGAAATATTGAAGATACAGCAACAGCCTCTCACGGGTAAAACCTTTAAATCAAAATAATCAAAACCAGAAACCTGCATAGACGTCTAGACCTGACATGATCTGAACTGTTAAACGTTTGTTGGTTAATTGCTGAATCGGCAACGAGGCAGCTTCCAGGGGAGCGAACTAAATAAACGAGTTAGCCTCCTGTCTGTTACGCTCAATCACTTCCACCACAACTCAGCTTACACCAACCTGGCTAAAACCAGCATCAGCTAACAGTCTCCCACATGAACTGACCTGCTGTAACAGAACTAAAGGAGCCAGTGCTAAGTGCACTAGAATTACTTTAAGTAACTACTCCAGTCATCCTCTCTGTCAGTTTGTTGCATAAATGATGTTAATCGTTAAAATAACTGACTTTTTTAAGCATCACAACTTCCTTAGATTTTTAAGCTCTCCAACAGTCAAGTTAAAATAATGCACGCATTAATAAGTGAAGTCTTTCCATTCACTGTAATACTTGAACTGCAATGATTTCTTACCTGAAGCTAAAACATGCTAATCACACAGCACAAGTGCTCCAAGACACAAAGTGATGGATAAATGATCTGATGGTTCTGCATCACATACATGTTTAACCAGTTGGGATTAAAAACAGTGAAACTGCTAGTCTTGGTGGCCTTTCTATCAAAAAGGGAGATAAAACCAACATTTGGACTCAAATACCTTGACGCCTGTCAGTTTCACTCATTTAGTCCATCAGAACCAGCAGACTACGTGCAACCAACACAAAGATGCAGTAATACATTATTTATGTTCAGACAGTGGTCAGCGTGTGAACGGCTCTTTTACATTCAGATCAGGCGCCTACAGGGAGATCCTGACCACCACAGACTGAACTTTTCATTTTTAAAACAACAAAATACTTTTTGCATGTTAGTTTAAAGCCAGGAGGTTTGACTGCAGAAAACCAATTGGAAATAAAAATACATCAAAGTGATATGTCAAATATATTCCAATGAAACGGTAAAAAAAAAAAAGCCACAAATTCTTGGATGCATTTCTCAAATAACGAGCTCATTATTCAGGTAATTATATGCATGTTTTAGCACGACTGAGATCAAATAAACGATATACTGTATCAACCAGCCGTACTCAGATCTAACAGATCATCCTTTTCTATTCTTTGTGTGAGCCAGGGGGAAAAAAAGTGCATTAGTTCTTTATTTTTAGAGAATGTGCCTCTGTTGCACAATAAATACCTTTAAAAAAACTCCACGTATGGCACATCACAAGCATTAATTTGCTGTTTAACGACACAGCTGCAGCCATCTTGTCTGTGGCCAGCAGTAGCAGCATGTATGAAAGTCGACGCTGAGAAACGTAATTTCCTGCTGGTTCTCAGCTAAATGACCGACAGTGCTCCTGTTTGTTCCTGCTCTGTAATGGCATTTAAGGCTGGTGTGCTGGATGAAGAGCTATAAACTCAGTGTTCCTAAATGGGACGGTTGTGATGGACGGAAAGCAGAGCTCGGACCTACAGTCCTTATGAGATCTCCATCATCCGCGCGTCTTCTGTCTCTGCAGCGTCGTCCTTTGTCCATTTTCCTGTGTTTGTCCAAAGTCCTGCCTCTAAACAGTGTTTCATGTTATATTCAGGGTCCTGTTGGAAGTCAAAGACAGGGGAAAAAAAAGGTACAAATTAAAGTCTGATTTATGTTCAAAGTGTTTCTCAAACATCTTTTCCAAAATCAGAAGTTCTCAGAGTTCTTGTGAGACATCATGAGGGGGTGGTGGGGGGGATCAGGGGATTCACCCTTTTTTCTCTCAGATTGTCAATGAAGCTGTGGGGGTGAGTGGTGGCCCCCATTCACTCTGTCACTTACAAAAGGCCTTTTCAAACTACAATGAAAATGTTTCTTTCAGTCCTCTGCAGCAGCACAGCTTTTAACACTAATATCATTAGTGGTACAATGATAATGTTTTTTTTATAAACACCATAGTGTGTCATATTGTTGATATACAGGTGCTGGTCATAAAATTAGAATATCATGAAAAAGTAGATTTATTTCAGTAATTCCATTTAAAAAGTGAAACTTGTATATTATATTCATACATTACATACAAACTCATTTATTTCAAATGTTTATTTCGTTTAATTTTGATGATTACAAATGACAACAAATGAAAATCTCAAATTCAGCATATCAGAAAATTAGAATATTACTGAAGACCAATAAAAACAAAGGATTTATAGAAATGTTGGCCAACTGAAAAGTATGAACATGAAAAGTATGAGCATGTACAGCACTCAGTATTTAGTTGGGGCTCCTTTGGCCTGTATTACTGCAGCAATGCGGCGTGGCATGGAGTCGATCAGTCTGTGGCACTGCTCAGGTGTTATGATAGCCCAGGTTGCTCTAATAGTGGCTTTTAGCTCTTCTGAATTGTTGGGTCTGGTGTATTGCATCTTCTTCTTCACAATACCCCATAGATTTTCTATGGGGTTAAGGTCAGGAGAGTTTGCTGGCCAATTAAGAACAGGGATACCATGGTCCTTCAACCAGGTACTGGTAGCTTTGGCACTGTGTGCAGGTGCCAAGTCCTGTTGGAAAATGAAATCTGCATCTCCAAAAAGTTGGTCAGCAGCAGGAAGCATGAAGTGCTCTAAAACTTCCTGGTATGTGGCTGCGTTGACCCTGGACCTCAGAAAACACAATGGACCAACACCAGCAGATGACATGGCACCCCAAACCATCACTGACTGTGGAAACTTTACACTGGACTTCAAGCAAYGTGGATGAAGTGCCTCTCTTCTTTTCCTCCAGACTCTGGGACCTTGATTTCCAAAGGAAATGCAAAATTTACTTTCATCAGAGAACATGACTTTGGACCACTCACCAGCAGTCCAGTCCTGTTTCTCTGTAGCCCAGGCAAGACGCTTCTGACGCTGTCTGTGGTTCAAGAGTGGCTTGACACAAGGAATGCGACAGCAGAAACCCGTGTCTTTCATACGTCTGTGTGTGGTGGTTCTTGAAGCACTCACTCCAGCTGCAGTCCACTCTTTGTGAATCTCCCCCACATTTTTGAATGGGTTTTGTTTCACAATCCTCTCCAGGGTGCGGTTATCTCTCTTGCTTGTACATTTTTTTCGACCACATCTTTTCCTTCCCTTCGCCTCTCTATTAATGTGCTTGGACACAGAGCTCTGTGAACAGCCAGCCTCTTTAGCGATGACCTTTTGTGTCTTGCCCTTCTTGTGCAAGGTGTCGATGGTCGTCTTTTGGACAACTGTCAAGTCAGCAGTCTTCCCCATGATTGTGTAGCCTATAGAACTAGACTGAAAGACCATTTAAAGGCCTTTGCAGGTGGTTTGAGTTAATTAGCTGATTAGAGTGTGGTACCAGGTGCCATCCATTTTGAACCTTTTCACAAGATTCTAATTTTCTGATATGCTGAATTTGAGATTTTCATTTGTTGTCATTTGTAATCATCAAAATTAAACAAAATAAACATTTGAAATATATGAGTTTGTATGTAATGTATGAATATAATATACAAGTTTCACTTTTTAAATGGAATTACTGAAATAAATCTACTTTTTCATGATATTCTAATTTTATGACCAGCACCTGTACTGTATAAAATGATGTTTTGTTTTTTCCTCATCTTCCCTTGTGTGGTTTTTAGTTTTTCTTTTAAGGGTTGCACCTCCTCATGATGTCTTCATGAAGATGATCCTTGGTCTGTGCAGAGCCTGTGGCTGCATGACCCAGAGCACCTGTTCTCCTATGTTTGTTATGTTCGGTCTTCTTCTGAACTGTAATTTCATTGTGCTCTTACAGTGACAAAGGTCAATCTAATCTAATTATGAAACTTCATTACAAAACACCATCTGAGCATTCAAATTATTTTTAAAGTTAAATACATATTTGTTTCTTTGAACTTAAGTTTTAAAGTTTTTTTGTTTCTGTGAAGGAGTGTTAAGAATGTAATTGAATATAGGATTTAAAAAGTGGTTTAAGGTTATGTTTATTTAATCCCACAACACCTGAAAAGAGCAGCTCAGAATTCACAAAGGCCTCAAAACCGGTCTGACGGAGCAGATCTGCTCTGAAGATTGGGATTATTTGTAACCCAGAAACACAAACGCTGGGAGGACAACAAGAAGACACCACATTGTCAGCAAAGATTTGTGAAATCAGCTACATCCCTCTGAAATTTGTGCTTGAATTTTGATAAATAAATCTTTTTTTATTTCGACATAAAGCCTATTCTGTGTATTTTGCCAGGAACGTGTACTTGCTCTGATATTTACATTTCAAATTAGGTCTTTTTTTTTTGGGACACCTTGTATCTGAAGGTTGTTTTCCCTTATTTTAATCTTTCTCTAATTTTCACATCAACATAAGAAATGTTTGAAGTTGGAAAATTCTGCATTGATTTTATTTTATTTTTTACTTTTAACCTTCTTTGTAAAACAAGTGGTAAAAAGATGGAAAACAATAGAATATGACCAAACTTGACCATATCTGTGGCCACAAAAATGACCAACATGAGGTTTTTTTTTCCAATGGGTATGAATGATAAAATTTCCCAGTGGTGAAACTAAAAAAAACAGCATCTACAACATGAGCGTCAACAACTCAGGAAAAGAGCAGAACTTACTTGGATTATGAAGTTTGCTGGTTCTTTTGTGCCAGAGTTCTGCTGCTGAGAGTTGGAGCTGTCGTTTTTACATTTAACAGTGTATTCTTTAACTCTCTGCTTGAAGGCCTCGAGTTCTACGTAGAACACTTCCAAGTAGACATCCTGTCCCTCCTACAGAGGAACAATAAAAACAAAGAGGTGCAGAATGGGTCACAGAAAATATAAAGGGGTGATCAGAAAAAGTGTGATTTGCCTCTTCTGCAGAAATCCACACTGAAATGTAGTTTAACGTTTAAAATCTGTTGTAAAACTGGCCTCAGGGACATAACTTCACATGCATGCACTTTATTCAGCATCAGTCTTACTTTGGCTTTGTGGAAGAAGTGCCTGAAGCAGCCCCGAGGATCCTGCTGAGAGTTTGAGGCCATCTCCAAGATAAACTGCATGACTACAGCTTGGTGCGCCACCTGCTCCATCAGTGCTTCTTTCTACAAAAACAAAAACTCTTCAAAAAATCTACTGTGACTGACTAGAAGATTTTCTTTCATTTTATAGTGTTTTTTTTTTATTAGATATGTAGGTAGATATAAAGATGGCAGCTACATGTAAACAGTACTTTGAGGTTTTGGTTCATGATCCTGAGCTTTTTAAATTATTATTAACAAAAATGTAGTTAAACCCAAGAGAAGCAAACACTTTATTAGGCTGCTTATTATAGGAATAAATTATTTGTTGCATTTGGTCCATGTAAGATCATCAGCTCCACCCGGTTATCACATTACCCCTTCTTGCTGGAGTCGAATGCTCCACAGAGTTAAGAAATTCGCCGTTTCCTCACAGATGAGCTGAGGCGTGTCGGAGAGAAATCTTTGACTGTCGTCCCATCGCCGCAACATCCCTGAAACATCAAACGGCTAGTTTATGGATTCTTGTTAGTTAGAAAAAAAAATATTATTATTATTTTGTGACAATAAAATTGGGAATTATTGAAAAATGTGGAACACCTGCTCCAAAAATGATTTCTAAGACATTTAATGATCTACTTGAAATCCTAAAGTTAGGCTTAATAAAACATAAATTATGTTTAAAAAGTGGATGAAATTTAGCAGAACACAGGGCTGGATAATATGGCAAAAAATTATATCTCAATATAATTTTGATACAAATAAAAATGTTGAAACAACTGCCAAGAAAAACCAATATTTACTGTACCTACAAACCTGAAGTAATTTAAAATATCTTTAATTAAAAATGTGACTAGTCAGAATAAAAAGTGATTTTCTAATTTACTTTTTGACTAGTCAGAATTTAATAATAATCTACAATAATTATTTAGTTAAATGAGTTAAAACAACACCTAATTTCCCTCTGGGATCAATAAAGTAATTTTGAATTGAATAGAATTAATTTGACTGAATATATCTGAAATATACTGCATATTTCAGATAAATTTATTGCAGCTATTTTAAACTGGAGCCTGCATACAACTTGAAGGTAAATCTGACATAAGTAAACTAATTTGTGTAATTATAGATAATATAGGTATTTATATAAATACAAAGAGGTATTTTGTCCAGTCAAAATATAATTAAGAGACTTCTTAATTAACTAATATGTCTTGTCATAAACCAATTTCAGATATCTGGAATGTAAGTGTGCTGAAGCCGATTTTATGTCAAAACGATCTGCCATAAACGTCTGTGTTTGCAGCGTCTGCTTCATGTTTGACAACTGCTGATAGGGAGATGGTGAAGTTTTAGGAAGAGGGCTAAAACCTTTAAGGCTGAGTTATAATCACGCTTGTTCACACGCTGCTGTTAAACTTATTAGCGTTGTTAGCATGGTGTTAACAGCGGCAGCACTGAGGTTTATGTCAAGCACTGATGTAAAATATATCTACCAAATTTCTTTAAAAGTCCTATCATCGTTACTGAAATGTCTCTTCTATTGTCCAGCACTAGAAGGACCAGTATTAACCAAACTCTTACCAAAATGCCTGAGCTCTTGTTCGTACTTCTGAAGAAATGTTTTGCACTTCTCCTGATCCACTTCAACAGGCTGATTTTGGACATTGATAATACTCTTGGAAAGAAAATAACAGAAGAACTTTGTGGTTATATAGCCCCAGAGTCAGTAGGTAAATATTGTAAAATGTTAAATAACAGAAAATTTAGTTGAGACATAAGTAACCTTTTTAAGCATTTTCTTTTCTTTTTTTATTTCAGCATACCCGATCAAAGACGTCCCAGCTTCCGGTCTCACTGAGCACAGGACTGCGACTGGGTCCCTGACCTCCCAGCACGCTCTCTTTGCGGCGCCACTCCTCCTCGGTGTTGGAGAGTTCTGCGGGGCAGGCCAGAGTCCGTGCACGTTCCTGTTCCATCGACTCGGAGCTGTGGACCCCTAAAGAGCACAGCTGGTCCTGCGCCTCGGCCAGCCTCCAGCTGGAGACGATGGAGGCCTTCACACAGCGCCGCTGGCTCTGACACAGCGACGCCATGGCACAGTCACAGAGGTGTAATGATGATGGCTGCTGGGACGTAGATGGAAAAAAACCATTATCAATGTGGTTTAAACTTACAGCAACTCTGTTAAAGTTTCATCAACAGGTTTTAATCGCATTGGAAATAGTTTCACTATTATAACTTGGAACAACTGTGATAATAAAAGTATTTACAAAATGATTGGATTGAAAGGGAGAAATTTGTCTGATAACCTTCGAAACATGTTAGATTTATTTGCCTCATGGTTAAATGATCCAGGAGGTAGAAAGTGAACTAGATAAAATAAAATACTGGAGCAGATCATTAGCTTCTCAGCCCTATATGGTAAACTTTTGTGCACGTAAGACATTTGGACAAATAAATTAAAGGGATGTTTCGTTTACGTAATGTCTGCATGTTTTACACAATAATCTACTGAGAAACTCATGTTTTCAAAAGACACATTATCTAACCAGCCTTATTGCGCAATTCTGTTTTGAAAACATTAGCATTCATTCTCTGCTATGCAGTTCAACACAGCTCACTTTATATTGTGTGTGGGGAAATATAATAATAATAGTTTCAAAACAAACACTAATCCATGCTTTATTCGGAGTTTAACCTTCATAAGTGAGCTCACTTCCTTCAAAAACAATACCCCCTCAGGATTAGCCACTTAGCATGTTTGTAACAGTTTGTATCCTGTGATGCTAGGTGTGCCAGTCATTCACAAAAGGTTTAACACTAAAGCGAATAAATTACCTGCTGTTGAGGATGACCTTCCCTGAGAGCCCTGGATGTCTTGGTCGGGTCACGGTTAGGCTCTTGGTTTGGGTGAAGTGAAGCTCCGTTGTTGCTCAGCCACTCCATAACTACTCTGCCCGTTAGAGCTACTAGCTAGCTAAGCTAGCTGCGTTTTGGTGGTTTGGRAAAAGTTTGGGTATTTATATTCGGCTGTAAGCAACAATTATATGTGCGGTACTAACGCCCCTCCACAGGCAGCAGAGCAAAATGGGAAGTATATAAACAAAACGCTATGACAACATAAACATATTTCCTCTTCTCCTAACCCTGGTTATATCTGTTTTAAGCGATGACGTAAGGGTCCCGTGGTGAACAGCCTCTAACCACGTGACACGGTGTCACTTTTCTACTGAATTCTTGTAGATTCTGGAAATTTCTGTTTTAAATATGTGTTTCAGATTATTCAATTAAAATACACAAACAAATAAAATAACATGAATGAGTTTTAACTATTTAATTGTCCTAATTAATATAAAACAAACAAAGGAAAGAAAAAGCAAAGAGTGGAGYACATTGGTCTGTACTACACCTCTTGACCAGAAGGTGGCGGTACATCACTGTAAGTGCAAATGAAAATTAACACATAAAACGAGAAAAATGGGCACAATTTTCCCAGTTACACTATATCAATAGATCAAATATAGATTATGGAAGTGTAGTTTATGGTACAGCAGCAAAAACACATTTAAAGAAATAAGAAATTATTCAACACCAAGCATTAAGAATTTGTGCAGGAGCATTTAAGACCACACCAATAACAGCATTAGTCCTGAGAAGAACCCAAATGATGATAAACTACTGGCTAAATTTAAAAAGCAATAATCCAGATCACCCAACAAAGAGAAAAAGACAGACAGATAGTTTTGGGTGGGTGATTCAAGAGGAAACAGAGAAATATCAAATACATAATCTAACAATAAGTCCAATGTTACAGCTGTCAGTAATACCACCCTGGATTCTACCAGAAGCTACAGCTGATTTGACGTTAATGGAAAAGAAAAGAGACACACCATACGTTTTCAAYTCACATACAGTCCAGGATTATATAAACAGTTATTATCAGTATATTCAAATATATACAGATGCTTCAAAAGCAACAGAGAAAATAGGAGTTGCATTTATAATACCAGAATTTCTAATAAATGTAAATAATCACTGAGAATTTATCAGTTTATACAGGAGACATGATTGCAGTATTATCAGCCATACAGGGGTAGAAGAAGTAAAACTTACAAAAGCTATAATCTGTTCAGACTCAAGTTCAGTTTTAATGAGTATAAAAAAAACAATCACTCAGACAGCAGGCCAGACATTTTACTAGAAATTAGTCACACACTGTTCAGAATACAAAGGATGGGGTTAACTGTATTTATGACAAGACAGTTCAGAAACATTAAGGAAAGGTTTGACGTAATAGACATATTACAAGGGAATTTAGGGGGCAAACACGTACAAATCATGATACGATTTTTGAAAAAGACAAAATTGTTCAACAGAATTTGAGTTTGACAGTAGTTTTTTGTATTTATTTATTTATTTATTTATTTATTTATTTATTTATTTATTTTTTCTTTGAATAGATAGTTTGAAAATGTAAAAAGAAATACAATAGTAGTAGTTTTAAATTAATATTTACACATTCCCACATTATAAATATTAGTGAAATCATCTTGAACCACACTCCATAGCAGTAGGTGGCAGTAATGCACAGGTTATTGCCAAACACCAATAAACACCATAAGAAGAAGAAGAAGAAGAAGAAAATAATTTTTTTTTTGTCCCTAATTGAAGACTTTCAGGCTGCCCAGCCGTCGACGTCCGTTGTCCACTTGTGTTAAAAACACTTTGCATTGTTGTTTAATTTAGCAAATGAAGCTATGGTGTATTTAAACGTGTGGTCTGTAATTTTGGCTGAACAAGCGCAATTTGTATTTATAGCGTGAGCGCAAATTCCCCCACGTGTTGCCTGAAAGGAAAAACGCAGGGTTGAAAATGCTCATGAAGCTAGGAACAAGCTAAAGTAATCGGACGGATAACTAAAAAAAAACATGAAGTATATTTGACAACTTAGATAAATTAGTCGACGGTAAGTCTGTTCAAATGAATAGTAAGATTGTGAGATATGTTGTACTTGTCGACACATTAAAAACACAACTGAATGTGTTTAGGAAAATAACATAAATCACCTACTAGCCTCGATGCTCTCGTGAACTAGCATAAAAACTGGGCAAAAGTCACATGTTTCGTGGGATATCAGGGATTTTTACTGTGGGGAAGTAAATGAAAAGTTTGTTGAAGAGTTGTCGTAAGATGATGCTTTCGATTTACCCGTGCCAGGCGAGCTAATGTTTCCTTAGAAAAAATATGAAGCCATGAGTTTGGACGTTTTCTGACCACAAGGTGGGGGTAAAATATAAAGAGTGACTTTTTCCATTCATAGCTAATTCAGAGTTTGTTTCAGAGTATTTAAACATCAGTAACCACAAGGGATAAAGTCAACACACCCACTCAGCCTGAAATCAAAAATCCCATTCACACTTCTAACTTTCTTTATCACAAAATAATAAATACTCGTGGTAAAAGGTTAGTAGTTCAAATATTAGGTATRTTTATTTTCAGATTAAACATAAACAGCAAACTTAGTAAAGGCAACTTTGATGCAAAAATAAGTCAGGGGTATGCACAATCTAAAGAAAGTATATGATCAGCTTAGTGTAAACATTTGCTGGGGAAAATATAAATTCTARATTAAAAATATTGTAGTGCTAAGAGAGGAAACATAAAATAGATGTGGTGCTGGATCTTCTGTGTGTAGGGTCTTTATGTAGCTTCACTGACCTGGCTGAGCAGAGAGTTACACAGCCTGAATGCTGTGTCTCGTGCTGTCTGTAGCTTTTGCCCCTTTGGTTATCCAAGGTTTACATGCCTTGTGCTTATTGTGTGTAACAACTATGACCACAAACCTGAAACGCCTATTCACAATGTAAAGAGCTGGATCCTAAATCTGATGTATGTCAAATGTATTGATTATTATACCAGTTGCATATTTACCTGTTTTTTTTCTCCTTTTCCACAGTGTAACAACAGCACACCCTCAGCCAACAGCACAGAAAATACTATTCAAAAAGAAATGGGTTAGTACCACACGTTCATAATCCTAGTTTCACAGAATGCACTCCATTGCGTAGTTCAATTTGGAAGCATCTCTTCACATTTGGAAGAAACTAGCTGAAGAAATAAGCTACTACGCTGTAAATATCTCTTTAATAGTCATCATAATTTGCAAGTACTGGTTCTTCTTTACCAACTTCCATTACAGCATCAGATGAAGGCCTGTTTTAGTGTCTTTAACTGAATACAAAACGAGAGAAGTACGTCGTGGTATCCTTCCAGTCTGGCTTGAATGTTGTCCAAGTCACACTGAAATTGTTCTGGTGGCTGTATTAACAGCAAATGATTCATTTAAGTGTTTATTTTTCTCTGGAAGCTGCTTGGCAATATGCAGTCAAACCTGTCTGTGGATTTAACCTCAAACAAAATAGGATACAAATTATTTTGCAAAAGTTGGTACTCGTTAGGATGGTGTAAGCCAGTAAAATCTGCCTTCATATGAAAAAAAAAAGCATCACCTTCCCAGAGGTGAATGAGTTCATGGACTCTATGTGCGTCCATGTATTTGAATGCGGTGATAGGGTTATTATCTTGTAATGAATGGGGGAGCCTCCAGCTCTGTCATTCGCACTCCAGCCAAGATCGTAAAGAAGCTACATGCTCAACATTCCTCTCCTCATCCAAACAGTGGGACTCAAGTGGGTTGTGCTGTTTGTGTTTGCGCGAGTCCCCTGCTGCGTGTACTCTGCTGCATGTTCGTCAGTGGGTTTGAATGGGCTGGAGTGCGGTGTAAACCAGCAGGGAACCACAGAGAAGAGCCGAGGGAATCCTGGAGCCATTCAAGTGTTTAAAATTACAGGACATGTGAGGGGACCCTGGCGGTGTTGTTTTATCATGCACGTCTTTGTCCATTTAATGCATAACCTGTGTCCTTCGCCTGCTCTCCATAGTGTACAGGCATGTGGTGTGACACAGCACAACACTTTAAGGAGAGGAATTTTCTCATCCGAATTCAGGATAATTTAGATGCAGTTGACAGCAGTGCTGATTTCTGGAATTCAAGTCATGCAAACAGGCATTGTTCTAAATAAAACCACATAACCAARTCTTAGGAAACGTTGTTTTGGCATAGTAAATATATATCTATTTTCTTAAACGCACAAGAAACAAGAGTTTACGTGTAATCTGGACAAAATTAATGATAATTGTATAAAAGCCTAAGCACATAAAATATGTTTTTTTGAGATGTTGAGTTATTTAAAAAAGTTATAAAATGCTCAAAAACTAGAAGTTGTCGCCTTACGAGTCTAAAATACAGCAGAGATTAGAGGCCGACCCAGAGAGAACTTTTGGTCTGCTTTCCCAGGCCGTGCATCAGGAAGACCGTGTTTTTTACAGCGTGACCAGTGCATAGCCGTTTTCCTGGGGAAATCCGAGACAAAATCAAGAGAGGCTGATATAGGGAGGGAGGAGAGAACAGGAAAACTGGTCCTGGGAAGGAAAGGCGGTGGAGGAGGAGGGGGGGTGCAGGTACACTGGAGGCCACACAGCATGGGCGACGCAGAAAGAAGCTGAAGCTTTTAAGATGGAAGGATTGGTGAAACACACGTACAAGACAAAAAAAAAAATCATATAATACATCTACTTCTGTTTCCAAATGTGCCTGCTTGTTGCAACCTGACCTAAAAATRTGCACAGAGAGTTTTCTCTGGAGAATATTCAGGCTGCAGATTTGACTGGAATGCAGAGCTAATGCTGAGGTCCTCCACTGTCCAACCAGCCTCAGCTGTTAATCCACTGTTAGAGCTGTTCGGCTATGCCTGCTAAAGAAATTTAGTCTACCCAGCATTGCTGTATTAGCAAAAAAATAAATAAATCCTACATCCGATCACTGTTAAACCCAAATTTAGGTAAATGGAAAAAAATGTAATTCAAGCCTGTTTGCAGCAAATTTGATGCACATAACTTGCATAACATAAGAAAAACAAAATATAAAATATTAACAGCTTTTATCATTTCTACCAAACTCATAGAGTTATATAAGACAACTAGAGTGAGTGTCCAGGTGTATCTCAAAAATCCAGGTAGAAAAGTAAAAAAAAATTGAACAGGTTCTCTGGACGAGTTCTTGTTTGTTGAAAAAACATTTTGTCGAAAAATATGAAACAAATTTCAAACGAAAAACTTGTCCAGAGGACCTGCTCGACTTTCTTTTCAAACTAGAGTGAGCTCTGCCTATCCCTCCCATTGCTGGGAYGTATTGCAGAAGCCAACATGGCACCCGGAGAGGGCAACAACTCGCAGCCAACAAAAGTAACTATTTAATTAACAGCAAGTTCAGCTGGATCTGTGTCACAAATTAGATTTAATCTCTTTGCAATAAAATATTTCAAGCCAGCTTGCTTTAAATTAGACCCATTTTTAAACTTGTAACAGAGTTGTTTTACAGTGCAACTTTACTTAAATTTGTGCAAAACAGAAAAAAAACTATTGCTTTTAATTTATTTTTTCTTTTAAGTAATAGAAATGCAAACTGAAACCCCGCCTACATATGTGTGTGTGTGATACCCTCAGGTCTTGACCCTGCCTTGCTCAGAGACCAGCTCTTTGAACTATGGAACCAGAAGGATCTGCAGATGGTAAGAGTCGCTTTCACAGTGTCCCTTCCACACACACACACACACACACACAGTAATCAGAGTCAATAATGTGTGTCTGCGTGGATCACAGGAAGAAGCAAAGCAAAGAGGGATACCAGCATCTTTAAGTGAAGCTCACCAATGTGTGTGTGTGTGTGTGTGTGTGTGTGTGTGTGTGTGTGTGTGTGTGTG